TCTTATTTTTACTTTAAAAATAGATTATCTTAATTATTTTTAATATTAACTTATTAAAATAATATAATTTTAAAGTATTTTTCCCTTTCATATTTTAAAGACCCCTCTAATAAAAACTTTCCTCAAATCATAACACTTTTATATTTATTACATCAACTTATATAAATATATATTTATGAGTTTGATTTGTAGAAATAAATATTATATTATGTAATTAAATGAATTTAAATGAATATTAATCGAATGGCCCGTTCTGATCCAATGACATTAGACCTTAGATTAGGGGTTATTCACCTCTGTGGGTAGCATATTCGAATCTCATGGAACTTATTTCCCCCCTTCCCCATATATACCTGTAAATAATGCCAAATTGTTCAAAAAAAAAATGAACATTAATCAAGTCTAAATTAGATGTTTATAAATTTGAATATAGATTAAAAAATTATTATTAAAGATTTTCAATTTTAAGAAAGATTATTAAAAAAATCAAATTAATACTTGAAAATGTTGTAAAATAAAGAAAACAAATAGAAAAAGAGGTATGAAAATAGAAGGAGGAAGGAAGACAGAGACCATGAAGAAGTTTTTCTTCTTCTTTCTTCTATATCTTTCCCATATAATAGCAAACACTATAGGCAGTAGAGTGGTAAAAGTTATGAGAGTTATAAGAGTTAATCACTAGCCGATCAAAAAAAAAAAGAGTTAATCACTATTAAGTCATGAGTTATATAGGTTTAATCACCCACTAAACTATTAAAAGAAGAGTTGTATGACGTAATTTTATTATCATTGTAATTGTATAGAGATAATAAAAGTGTGATTTATAAAATTTATGCATAAATAAATGCTTACTCTAAAATAAAATTTTAAAACAAAAATAGTAAGATAAAGGTTAAAGGATCAAACTACATGGGGTTTCAAATTATTAATCAAAAGTTTAGGGAGCCAGGATTAAATCCCGCACCATTACTTTGATCTCCAATGAGGGGGGTACTCTGGGTGTTAGCTTAGTGGTTATTTTTAAGCTTTATTTTTTTTTGAAAATTTGTAATGAAAATCAATCTTCAAAAGCATGTGATGTGATGGGAATCAATTGGATTTTTTTATGGTGGGTGTTAAAAGGTGTTGGATAGACAAAGTTGTTGGATCTCACTCATTATATTTTGTCTCGCATCTTAAAAGTTTTCTATTTATATATTATGGAATGGGAGAAGACGAACTCCTTTTTGCCTAACGTGGTTACACCAAAGGGACCATTTATGTCCCGTATCTTTCTGTTCGTTGCTCAAAATTATTAAATTATATAGTCTAAGAATAAAATTATTTATATTTTTAATTATAAGTTTAGAGGTTCAATTTTTAATTTTTAAATATCTAAAAAAAATGAAAAAAATGATTATCACAATAATTGATCATGAAGTTAAGCTTAAACATTGGTCATGAAGTCGAGGTCCCTTGCTTTCCCATCCATATTTTGCAGATATCTTTATGTTTTTAGTAAACCACAGGATGATTCTGTTGTGGCTATGAACAAAGGATCCTACCATGATACACACAAGTATTGGATCTTTCTATGTGTTTGGTCTTAATATCTTAGGTGTTGCATTGTGTAATTCAATCATCATGTATCTAAAGGTAAATCATGGTCACAAAGAGAATATCTAAGTGTTTCTCTATCTCTTAATCTAGTTAGCCTTTCAGTCAAACATTTGTTTAGGTCAAAGCAGCACTCAGTTGCCTTGATAAATTTTTATGATGTTATGGTGAGTGCAAGCAAGAGTAGCCATGGTAAATTGTTTGAACAATTATTAATATATTTTTTAATTCAACATATTCCACAACACACTTATTAAAAAATTATTATTTTTAATTTTGAATTAAAGGTGATAAAATTTAAAACTATAAATTTTAATAACTGAATTGAAGAGTATTGAAAGGTATGTTGAATTGGTTATGTTGAATTAAAGGATATACTAATCATTTTTCAAATTGTTTATATGATTTTGATGGCCTGGTGATAGCAATAGAGTCTTCAACTACTGCTACATGCTGATATTTTCAATGGATGCATCTAGTTTCCATGGTTAATTGTTTATATCGTTTTTGTAGTAACTTAATTCAATAATTGATCTACTAATTATTTGTCTATTTTCATTTTAATCTAGAAAGTTAGTTTTCTTTCTAAATAGTCTACAAACATTGTAAAATATTTTAGAATAGTCTACTATATAAAACTTCCATTAGTTTTAACAAAAAAATTAAATCAAAATTAAGACAAAACAAACCCAAACAAAAAAAAAAGTTAACAAGAAACGGGCAAAACGATAAAAAAAAGCAAAAAATGGGGATTCCAATAAAAAAAAAAAAAGAGAAAAGGAAAAAGAAAAAACAGAAAAAGAAGGTAATAAAGCCTAAAATACCGAAAACAAAGAGAAGAAACTTACAAAATTAACAAAATCACAAAAATAACAAAAAAAAATAAAAAGAAAAAAAAGACATAAAAGAAAAACAAGAAAATCAAACAAAGCAAAAAGAGCAAAAGAAACAAAAGAAACTAAACAAAAAAAAAAAAAATAAAAAGAAAAAAAAGAAAATAAAAAAAATTAAAAGAAAATAAACAAAATAAAAAAAATACAAAAATTACTAAACAGTTTATTAAATTAAGCCTTGTCAATTAGTCCCAGGAATTCACACTCCAAATTAATCACTTTAAATTCTAAGTGCCAATATTTTTCAATGAAAACATTCAGTGGATTCATTATGTATTTGTTATTCATTTCTTCATGTGTGGTTTTGTACTCTGCTGCCTCTTCTTTACTCTGTTACTAATTTAATAATATCAGGTGGTCGTTTGCCTGGTAGTTCCAGTTATAACTCTATATGAAACATTTGAAATTTAGCAAGCAGCACGAGTTAATTCATATAACTTTTCTGCAAATACAGCCAAGGACAAGAAACCGAGAAAATTTCTATTCCATTTTCAATCTTATTTATCTTGTTACTTAATTTTTATTGGAGAAATTAAGTGGTGTACAATCTAAACTGTATCGGACTGCATAACATTAACTATTAGATAAGAATTGAGTTCCTGATATTGAGAGTCCTCCCCCATTTAATGATTTTTATTTTACAGTCCGATACACTTCAAACTATAAAATAGGTTCCATTTACATTTTAGGCTCTTAAACATTTGATAGTATGGATGGTTTCAAATTGTTTCATTGCAGCAACTAGGGTGGGTATGATTCAGTTTTGATTATAATCGAACCTGAATTATCAGCTGCAATTAGGGGTGGGTACAGTTCAGTTTTGATTATAATCGAATTTGAATTATCAGCTAACCAAAATTTTGGATTTTTAATTTTTGCAACCATAACTAAACTCAAAAATATGGATTTTATAGGTTTCAATTAAACTTTTTAGAGTAACTCTTCGGAGTGATTTTGATTTTAACCAAAAAATTATTTTTATATTTTTAGTGATTTTTTGAATTTTTATTTATTATTTTATTAATTTCAATTACTAAAAATTAAAAATTATCCAAATAAATAAGTAATTTAGTAAAAAATGACTAGAAAGCCTTTAAAAAAAATCTAAAAACTATTAAAAAAATTTATATATATAGAAGGCTTTTGGTCCAAATTTTTTTGTTATACTCACCCCAATCACCGATATTTTTATTTTTAAATTTAGTAACCAAAACTTAAACCATTTATAATTAGTTCAGTTTGATTTTTAATTAAAAAAATTTGAAACTCAATTAAAACCTACTTGTCAATGATAATTTTATTGATTTTTAGATTTTTTTTTTTTTTAGCTACGGATTTTTTGGTCCACCCTAACAGTGACATTATCATTTATGTCAGCGAGCAGGTGGGACAAGTTCGGTAGCTAACAAGGGAAAGTTATTAATGAAGCAACTAATTATTCTTGTCATGACTGAAGAAGACTAGGAGAATTTTATGTTGTTATACACACCTTGTGTCAAGCAGATGTAGCTGGCTGCCTCAGTTTCTATATATTGGCAAGATTTTTGATGGATTGGTAGCCTTCATAGATGGAAGCTAACACCTGAATTTTGTAATAATAAGCTAATCCTTTTGCTATCTGCTACTGCTTCTTGGCTTATTTTGGAATTAACAATTGAATTATTTTATTGATGAGAATGAGAAAAGGTTTCTCAGTTTAGATTCGAGGGGGTTATATTGGGTATTATCATTAAGATGCTTCAAAATTTTGAGGTTGTTACACCTTGAACATAACAGGATTTTAAGCAAATGGGGCAGATAGGCTTCCTGACGTGCTATTTTGTGGTGGGAGGGATGGAGACACCCGGCCGTGCAATTGTAACTAATAGTAATACTCCCATGTGCTGGTAGGTCTCTAATATCTACGAACATCGTACGGTAGTTGTTTTTTTTTTTTTTTGAACAGGGGGGAATGTGAGGGGAGGGAATAACTGACTGCACACTGAAATTTTAAACTCTGACCGAAACCATGAATTTAAATGCATTTGACTAAAGTAGTCGAAACTATGGGAGCGTACGGTAGTTTTTATTCGTGTAAATATCTAGCAAATTCATGTGACCAACTGACCATATCTGTTGATTCTTGTGGCAGAAGGCGCAGGGAATATGGTGCAATAAAGAAGCTGAAGATTCAAAGATCCTTGAGGAAAAAGAGAGGGAGAAAATAAATTTTTGTATAATGATCTTTTGGATGGAAGTGATTATTATAACCATTAAATTTATTAATATTATTAATTTAACTGTAATTTTATTAATTTATAGTTTTTTAAATAATTAATTATAATATTTAAAAATATTTATTTATAAATTAATTTTAATTTATTAAATAATAAACATTAACTATTTTATTAATTATTAATTATTTTTAATAATTTAATTAAAATAAAATTTGGATAATTTTTTAAAATCTTAATAACCATAGTCTTTTGGACATCTGGTATAATTCTAGTGGCATCTTCATTTTTTCTCATCGTCGGCACAATGGCACTTCTTTCTCTTATGCTCTTCTGTTAATATGAATTGTCATACAAATATTATCATTGACTCCTTTAAGTTTGAAAAAAGTAGTGTGTTTTTCAGATTGTGTTCTCTTTTTGAATGCTTCCATTATTGAACAAACACCTGAGTGTTGTCTCATAAGCTGCAAAGACAGCTCCATTCACCACAAAAGCTCTAGCAACTGCAGTTCTTAATCCTCGCCAAGAGCACGCCATACCCATCCTGCTTCACACTTTTACCAAGGCAATCAACAACGCCATTATATTTCAGTGGAGAGGATGCTGACTGAGCCTGCAGTCTGGTTTTCAGAACATCTAGGGGATAGCAGCTGACCCAGCTAGCAACTCCTGTCAACCTTTCTGATACCAGCATTGTTCTAAGGCTCTCATCGCCCCTCTTTCTGCAACGAGGATGGAGCTTCTCTCTGGTGCATTCGTACGTCCAGAAGTAGAAGCCGTAAGCAGGCACATCTCTGAGGACAGTGATGGTACGTAAATCCCCTGTATATCCCCTCAAACCTTCTGTTCTCCATATGCTTTTAGCAACACTGATAGGCCTTCTTTGAGAAGAAGTTGTGGGATGGTGAGGTGTAGCCGTGTAGGAACTCTGTTCTGCAAACTGAAGGCGTATTTTTACAAGTTCTAAAGGGGAGGGCAGAATGCTCTGTATGGCTTCTGTACCAACTCCCAAAGCAACACTTTTGTAGGATGGAGGATCGTTGACAGGAACAGAAAAGTCCAGTGCTCGGGACAGAACGGCATATACTTGGAAAACCATAGCATCCTGTAATCGGTAAATTAATTTTATTGTCATCTTTGATTCAATCCAACAAGGAAAAATATTGGGAGAAAAGTAAAATACACTGCAATATCATCACAAGGGTCACATACTTTGATTTGATAGAAAGCTATTTATCAAGACAAAGAAAGAGGGTTGCAAATCTTTTAAAGCAAAACATAACTGATATCACAAACGTAATTGCAACGTAATCCATATCACAAAAGATTAGACTAGATTCCAAAAGAGTGACATAAGTGACCAAGACCAAGTTCACTCTCAACCCTTCTGTAAAGTAAGAATTCATCAGTGGACGTCACCAGCAAACGCTATTTCATTGAATTCTCCACTAACAGCTTTGCTAAGTTTGAGTGGTAAATTCCTTTCCAATAGAAATGAAAGATTTTAAGTTTGAAGTATATAATATATAGGTAGGATGAATTAAAATATTAAAAAAATATTATCTCTTGTCATACAATTTATTATTTAAAAAAAAAGAAGCTTTACCAAAACAAATATATATGCGAAAAAAATATATATTGAGCATGGTTCCAACTCACTCCTAATAGTTCGATCCTCTCACAAATGGTATCAAAGGCAAATGGAATGAGTTTGCCTCTGGTCATGAACTTCTTCTTTCGTAAGATACTGATATGCTCCACTTAAATGCAATCCTATTCTCTAGGAAATCAACCTAATTGATCCTAACTCAAAAAACACCTATATGATTGAAATGCTAACAAGAAGAAAATAAAAAGGATTTATCAAATGAAATTGGAAAAATGAGAAAGAACCTGGAAGGTGACTGATGCCAATGGCGCTCCCATGCCTCTCTAGAGTGCACCAGACCCTTCAGTAGCCACCACGCTGCGGAGGATGCTCAAGGCGGAGCCTGAATTTGAGCTCCGTTACCGGATCCTCAGCGTGTCAAGGTGATAACCTGAGATTACACCGGCCATGCCCCCGAAGCTTCCAGCCACAAATTCTATCCCCCAGCTGCTCGCGAGAAACTCTGATCAGAAATCCATTATATCCTAAACCACCATTCCCCAAAACAACAAAAATATGATGATCTTCCCGTTTATATCCCAATCCCACTTCTCCATAAAACAACGATAGTGACGCCTGCGCTCTGCTTCTTTTACTTGTTCAGACTGAATTCTGCATTCCCAACAAACTCTTTCTCTTTGGTTTGAAATAGGCGAAGAAAAAGCTCAACCTGATTTCGAATTTAAGATGGAAATGAAACAGAGATTCAGAGAATATCCACCTTGTTAAATAACCCCACCATTATTTCTCTCCCCAAATCTTTAAAAGAAACCGAAAAAATGATTCCCACTTCCTGAACCCAAACCTCAAATAATTCAAGTTCCTATGTCCTTATAAACAGAGTATAGAACCCATTAATCTTTATGGGGTTTCCCTTTTCTACTCGATCTTCATGAATTGCCCGTTACTATGTTTTGTCTGTTATGATTCTTGCACAGGGAGCAAAACAAGCGCCATTGGTTACTATTTCGTCGGGACTGTGCAGAGGAAGGAAGGAAGGAAACGGCCAGCGACCTCGTTTCGTGTCGCCAATAGGAGGTTGCCACAAGAGCAGATACCGTACATATCTGCAACACTTGCTTTGCTTTTCCGCGGGTGCTTTGTGGCATAGTGCTGAAGCTTTTGATTTCCCCATAAGAAATCAGTTTCAGTGATGGAATGACTCGGAAACAAATTTTTGTCCATATATGACTCACAATTTATTAGTGTTCCTTCTTCTATCTCCGCCGTGTTGTAGATGTGTTATAATAATAAATCGCCTAAAAAACAAATAATTGTCCATATTTGGCTCATAATTCTCACTTAATATATGCAACATGGATTTTTCTATTTTTTAAAAATAATTCATTTTTTGTTTTGATGACTTAGATATATATAAATATATATATAATTTTACACACAAATTTTATATACCATATTTATATAAAATTTTGATCACTCATTTTTTTTTTATTTTTAATAATTAAAATTTATTCATTTTTTATTATATTTATTAAAAATAATTATTTTTTTATTTAAAAAATAATAGTAAATCTCAATTATTGAAAATAAATAAATAAATAGTCAAGAGATTTTTTGTAAATATAATGTGTATAATTTATGTATAAGTAGATCTTACTATATATATACATATATATAAGTTTTTTGTTTTATAATCTAAACTACACAGTATGAACTATTAGATGTGGGGATGACCTCAAATATTAGGTTTATATTATATAGTTTGGATTACACAACACATCATCATTAGTACTTAAAAAGTTAAGACTATTGCTAACTATCGAGTAAAGGTGCAAATAAGGATTCTGACTTTGCACTTTTTTCTATTTAAGGATGTTAACTTTGTCAGTTTTTAAAAAAGGATGTCAACTTTCAATTTTTTTCTAAATAAGGATGTTAACTTTATCAGTTTCTAAATAAGGATGTTAACTTTATCAGTTTCTAAATAAAGATGTTAACTTTCAACCTTTTCTATTTAAGAATGTCAACTTTCAACTTTCAACTTTTCTATTTAAGGATTAATTGAATAGTAATGTTGACGTGGCTAACATATTTTTTAGGTTAAATACCTGAATTGGTCCCTCAACTTTTATTTTTGAACCAATTCATCCTTGAACTTCAGAAAGTACCAAAAACATCCTTCAACTTCAATTTTCAATTAATAAAATTATTTCCTAAT